CACATCACAACACTAGATCTACACGACTCTCTTCCGATCTCTTCACAGTGTGACTGGAGTTCAACCCCCCCCGAGATTGTGATGTTCTTACTGGCCAGACAACAAGGAAGGATGATGCCTCTTAGTTATTTTAGTGAGTCAGTTAGGAATCAAGAGAAGATATTAATGCTTTTTAGTTATATCTTGAACTTCTACATAATGACACTAGCATAAAAATAATTTAAGACGCTATAATTTCTAAATAAATAGAAGTTTTTATTTGAGTAAAGTCATCTTAGAAGAAAACATGCTACTGGATTTTTTTCATCATAGAACCATTTTTGTTTATTTAAATATTTGGTATTTACCATTTATACAAAGGTTATCAGAATTCTGGATGATTGAAATTATTTAATACTAAATATTGTTTGGATATTTGGAAAAGAACTTGTAGGATGGGTTTATTCTGTACATTAGTATTTTTTTATATAAGCATTTCATGCTGAATAATAGCAATACTGGATATATTCTCAATAGTTTGAGAGGTGTGTTAGCTGAAAGACAGCATGTTACTTTTACAGAGTATACAACTTAATATAGTTCCAAATTATTTTCTTAAATATGGGTTAACAGTTATTTATATATTTACATCAATAACCTTTTTCATAGACATACAGACACGTAGGTGATTTCATATAATCAGTTGCAAGAACATAGATTTCTGTATTGCATTTATTAACTTAGTACCCTTTTAAAAAATTATTTTAAGTATATGAGTGCTGCATGTATACCTGTATGCCAGAAGAGAGCATCAAATCCCTTCATTAGATGGTCATGAGCCACCCTGTGGGTGCTGGGAATTGAACTCAGGACCTCTGGACGAACAGCCAGTGTTGCATAACTGCTGAGCCATCTCTCTAGCTCCCAACTTAGTATGCTTAATTAGATAGAATACTCAGAGTTGTAAGGTTAAAAATAGCTGAACAGAAAGGATTATTGAATAGTTTTCTCAAACACCTTGACTATTCCTCTAACAATTGTTCTTCTATATAGAAGTCCTTTTAAATACTTGATAATTAGTACTATTTGCTGTTATTTGGTATGATATCTATAACCATAGATCAGTGTTAGCCTCTAGTAATCCCTTCCCTTTAAAAGCAATACATGTTAACAGTTTCAGATGATATTGAGTCTGAAAATAAGCTCAAATTGATAAGATTAAGAATGTGGAGCCGGGCGGTGGTGGCGCACGCCTGTAATCCCAGCACTTGGGAAGCAGAGGCAGCCAGATTTCTGAGTTCGAGGCCAGCCTGGTCTACAGAGTGAGTTCCAGGACAACCAGGACTACACAGAGAAACCCTGTCTCGAAAAACAACAAAACAAAACAAAAAAAAAAGGAATGTGGACAGATTGAACAGTATTATTGCATAAATTGGTGTTTTTATATTTGGTGTTTTTGTTTTTCAGTGTTTGCAACACTTTTTTTGTTTTTTTTAAGTTAGACTTGCGTGCTGAATCTGACAGTGGCCTATGCATTCTGATTTTTCTCACTGGCCTCACTTTACCCCCATCCACCAATATAATAGCACTGATTGGACTGTTTAGAATGGTGCCTGACCTACATATTTTAAAAAGAAAAATATTTAGTGCTTTGAGGCTTTTAAATGAGAGTAGTTACTCCATTTGAAAATGATGGCTTCGTTGTGAGATGAGTGGGATGATCCTGTTTCTGAGCTGGTCTCAATGTGTAGCCATTGCTGGTCTGGAACTCACTATGTAGATTGGCTGGTCTTGAAGACAAAGAACTCTGCCTGCTTCTCCCTTGAATGTTGATGTTACAGGTCTCCACCACCATACCTGGTCAGGCTTTCCTTTAATGTTAATTAGTGAAGTAGTGAAATGTTGATTCCTATTTGAGGTTTTTTTTTGTTTTTTTTTGTTTTTGCCTTAGATGATTATCAACATGTTTTTCACTTATTTATTAAGCTATAAGTATTTATTATATATATGTATGTATAGATAACCCTTTTAAGTGGAAATAGATCATTACGCTTGTGTGTATACTGTCTGAACTACACTGCTGAAATGTAACCTGAAATAATAGTGGAGAGTTCATTTTTGTGCGGTGTTGAGTATGAAACCCACAACCTTGTGCATGTTAGACAAAGAGTCTACCACAGAGCTATACTCTTATTTCCTATTAAAAAAAAATTAAGCCCTTAATTTAACAAAATAAGTTTTAAAAATTCAATGACATTTGTGTGTGGTGAGGGATAGTATGCCGCAGTACATATGTAAAGTAAGAGGATAACTGTGGCACTTGGTTTTTGTCTTCCACCATGCTTGTCCTAGGTTTAAGCACAGATCTAAGGTTTTGTGGTGGGTACCTTTATCTGTGGAATCATCTTGCTATCCCCAAATTCCTTATTTTTTTTAAAGTGTACAAAACAAAATTTCCTACCTTTTTCATTTTTAAGTGTATAGTTCTAGGTATACTTTGTTGTGTAAGCAATGCCTAGAACTTTTTTATCTCACAAAATTAAAACTTATTAATAACCTTCATTGCTTATACTCCCTTCAGGATCCTCTTTCTATTTTGTGTGGTTTTGTTTTTGTTTTTGCTAGACTACTGCGTATACCTCTTATAAGTGTTATCACATAAATAAAATTGGACCCTCCATCTGTGGGTTTGCTAATCCAGACAAGCACAAATTAGAAATATCTGAACAAATCCTGCATCTGTACTGGACATGTTTCCATGTTGCTATTCACTAAATACAACTCTTTACATAGCAGTAAGATTGCATTAGGTTTTTTTAAGTAACATAGAAATGATGTAAAAAGTATATCAGATATGGGTGTTGGTTATAGATAAGTATCCTGTTTTATATAAAGTACTTGAGAATCTGGATTTTGGTATCTTTGGGGAAGACCAGGAGCCAGCTATTTGTGGATGCTCTGGATACGAGTGTGTTTGTCTTCTGGCTAAGGATTATTTGCCCAATCCTTAAGGTTCATCCACACTGTAGCATATAGAATTTTTCTCAGAATTGCCTTGACTGTTAGGAATAATACTATAATTAATGTACATAGGTATCTCTTTAAGACTCTTTCAATTCTTTTGGATATACACATTGAGAGAACAGTAAATCTAGCCAGGAGTGGTTGTACATACCTTTAATCCTAGTACTCAGGAGGCAGAGGCAGGTGTATTATCTGTGAATTTGAGGCCATCCTGGTCTACTGAGCAAGTTCCAGGTCAGCCAGGGGTCTTACATGCAGAAACTCTGTCTCAAAAATCCCAAAAGAGGAGAAAAAAAAAAAAAACAGTAAATCTTAATTTTTTGAGATCTCCATACTTATCCATAGTAATCGTACCATTTTACATTTCTCACAGTAGTGTGCAAATGATTACTCTGCCTATATCTTGCTGACCCACCCAAACTCCAGTAACCCACCTTTG